CAGCAGAAGGCACCTGCTGGGACCTAGGTGAAAGCAGGAGCTGAGCAGCAGTCTGGATGTTTCACTTGTAGTGTCTTTTGCATAGTAGCGCCTCATGCTCTATGTTGAGGGACGGTAATAAACCAGCATCCAAGAATTTCTTTACAAAACACTCCTCAACTTTTATGACTGCATGTTGGGCTTATTGATGCGTGTTCCCACTGTCAGGACGAGGGAGCGTGGCAGCTCCCCTGACCCTCTCAGCCCTGGTTCAGGCGTAGCACTGTGACATTGCTGGCATGGCTGGTGCTGCCATTGGTGCTCAGCGGAGATGGAGCTGAGCTAGGCTGAGTTCCTTATGGCTTCTGGTCTGTTTGCCATCTGTTTTCTACAGTTATGTTACACTTTTTTTTCTTTTTAGATCAAAAATTGAAATTGTTTACTCATTCCCCAGACTTAACCTCATATATAAAGCAAAAAAAAAAAAAAAGAATATATAAAATAAATTCTAGTGTGTGCTGCATGTAAAGGAGAGACACATTTGCTCATTCTTTCTCCTGGGGAGAAACCCATTGCCCCAGGCTTACCCTACTGACTGGGCCAGGAGCTGCTGCACGTGCTGAGCCCAGCAGCAAGACGCGATGCTTCTGGGGCTACTTTGAGGAAGCTGCCGGGGAGGAGCTGGCTTCCTGAGGCATTGCCCCAGATGAGCTGCTCATCTCACATTGCCACTTGCTGCATCTTGTGGCAGAGCTTTGCTTTTCGCTTCGTGCACTCGGCGGGGAAAGCCAAATGAGTTTCCTAACCCGGTGTGTGCTAAATCTGGTTTGTGTCAAATACGGTGCGGGAGATACGCAGTGCGAGTGGAAAAATAGCTGCTGGCAAGCAAATTCATGTCTTCCCTGAGCAAATAAAGCTAGCTTTTAAAATAAATGTTAAATCTCCTCCTCAGCTTGAAGAGAACCAGGCCCACAGCTCAGCCGCATGAGAGGGATTTTAGCCTGGGCTGCAGCCAATGTTGAGACCCCATGCCTGTCCCTGTGCCCGCTGGGGCCACAGACTGGGATGGCTCCTACCGCTCGGGCTCAACATTGGCAGCGGCTCTCTGTTTGCAGGGGGGACGAGGCGGGGGATCCACACACCAGCTCTGTGCCCCGGAGCCTCCTCGCCTCAAGGCAAACATTCAAGGAGACTTTGTGCGGGCTGGATGTGAGTGCTGGGAGGTTTTCCCCAAAGTCATCGCTGTAGGTAATGTATATTTATGAGTGGAACAAAGCGGGCAGCAGTTGCTTCCAAAGACTGCTCTCTTTTCCTGGTGGCTCTGCCTTTGGGCGCGTGGCGTGGGGAAAGGCCGTTTCACCTTGGGGCTGAGCTCACTGCTGGGGCTCTGCTCTTCTCAGGCAGTCTTGCAGACATTGTGCTCTGCAGTCCATACTCATAAGTGTGTAAGAGATATGTGCAGTCACTTGCAGCAATGGTCAGTGTTTGCTCTTGGGCTACTGATTGATCCAAATGGTGTTTCATGCGGCACCATGACTTCTCAATTGAACTTGTTGGTCATCATGTAGCTTTGAATTTCTCACTTTAGTTTGGTGTATATATATCTATCTGTATGTATACATATATGCCTGCAAATGTATAAATGTGTAACTATCTGTAAAAAACACGTTTGGCCCAGATTTCATGCTGTGCATCCAGTAGCCTAACTGCCAACCTGCCGCTCCTGTGGAAGAGATTTCAGCAGAGATGGTTCTCCAGCCTGAGACTCATGTAGGATTTGTAACACTGACTTTCCTATGGTCTTTCTCCTCTATGTGGCCAGCACCAGTCCTGCTGCTTTGGGAAATATGAGAAAATATACCAGTTTTGGTTGCGTTGCAATTGGGATTTTGGATTCAGTCAGGGCAAAGTTCCTTCCCTGCTTCCAGTTTCTGTGCTTGCATATAGGTTTGTTGGGTTGCCAGTATCTTGAACATACCCCAACAGCAGTATATCTCCCAAAAGGCCTCTGTAGAGCTAAATTGTTTTAGCCAGGACTCCTGAAGAGAAATGCCACATCTGACAAATAACTTGCTGTAGCCAATGTGTGGGTTTGCTTCTGTGAGAAGAGGTTTTTTGCTCTCAGATCAAACATCAAAGGGTTCTTACATAATGCAACATCTTTTAGCATTAGTAAGGTATTAGGGCATCATCATGTAGCACTCCAATACATTTTAGTATTCTATTCTATTTCTGAATGCAGCTCACCTTTACCCAAGGGATTCCCTGGCCCTACAGAAAATAGTACTGAAAGTAATCTAGAGCAAACCCAAGGATTTGGGTGCACTCCAAACAACAGCATCCATAGCAGGAGTGGCTGGCTCTCCTGATTCTAATCTGCCTAGAATCTTTCCAACAGCTGTGAGACTCATGAACACTTCCAGCAGGTTTTGTAGGTATAAAGGGTATAAAGTAGCCAAGAGCTGGGGCTGGAGCTGGCCTGGGAAAGCAGGTGGGCCTGTGGGTAGCCCCTTAGGATCCATTGGGTAGTCAGTCCACCCAATGTGGAGGGTGTTGATCTTTAATGAACACCTTTGATGTAAGAATGAAGAAGTCAGCTGTCAAAATAGTCTCTGGTGATGAATACGTGTGTGATTTTCCTACTGCTGCTTAATTTCAGGGATTTTCCCAGGTCTGTCAGTCCTAGTTGCCTTTCTCACCTTGTGAAACACAGAATCTTCACTACATCTGAGCAGCACCTTCCACTTCTGCAGCAAACTTACGTCCTGGTGAAAGGTGCTGAGAGGAAAACGCAATAGCGAGTGTTAAGCAGGAAGGTCGTTTGGCAGCAGGCTTGCGCAGGGATAAATCCTCCATCCTGCCGTGCCTTACAGCATTACGGGTTTGTGAGCATTCTCCTGGGAGCCAAGCTGCCGTTTGTCAGCATTTACACCAGCGTGAACGGCAACGGCTGCCTTCAGGAATGCTGATCAGCCCCCGGCCTGCTCCTCACCCGATGCACGGGGGAATCTGTCCTCGCTGTCACTCAGGATAATGATACCCCGCCGGCAGAGCACGAGGCCACAGCGTGCCCTAATCTCCTCCAGAGCTGCCTTTCCCAGCTGGGACTCCCGAGTTTAGTCGTGCAGGCGGTAGATGGAGGCTGCAATTGAGCTGAGCCACCGAGTGAGCTGCAGGGTCTTTTTTGTCTTGAAATAACCTTAGCTTTCACAGGGCTCAGCCCTAAGGGCCTTGTCTCATAAATTGGGTTTGTGTTAACTTGGGCCATCTACTTCCCTTTTAAAAGCTTTCTTGTTTATTGTGGATGAAAAATTTATTCCCAAATTGGGGTGTTAGCATACTGGATATTTGATTGTAAATGTGTATCTGTAATTAGAACTTAGCTTGCGGATGCAAAATTCTGTATCTTGTGATTTTTTGAAAGCACACATCTTAAACTACAGCCTTGCCCTTCAGAAATACTATTCTGTGCATTTAAAGGTCTGAATGACCTTTTAATCAGACATTGCACCTTTCCTTCTAGCCGATATGACAACGTCTGACAGTAACTCAACCTGATGTTGTGAGGAAATAAATAAAGGCCATTGCAGCCACTATGCCTTTAAATCTGTCTAGCTAGCTGCGGTTTTTCGTGTTCAGGTAGATGGACCCATGGAGGAGCATTGCGTTTAGTTTTCAGGCGAAGACAATATATCCAGTTCAATACATTTGCATGTCTGGCTGCTCTTTTGAGATCAATTTAGGCGTGTGATTGCTTCCTTCCACTCTGAACTCAAGCCTTTCCTGCAGCCGACCTCCTTATGAATTATGAATCCACATCCCTGGCTGGAGCTCAGCAGCCATCTTACAGCCTGTGCTGACCTGGGGCTGTCCTCAATGTTCCCGGACAGCTGCTCATGCTTCAGGTTTTGGTGAGGGGCTGGCAGGGCTGGCTGTCAGCGACTCCTGTTTTAAGGCTATTGCTCCATGGAAATTCTTACTGTTGGAGGCAGGTGTATCTAACAACCAGGCCATTGCCTGAGGGAGCTGGTGTTCAGATGATCTCTGGGACACCAGCCCTTATGGAGAGGGACTGGATGCTGGGTAGCGTGGGTTGCGCTGCTGCTCTGTGAGCACACGGGGTAGATATAGTGGTAGCACAGACCCTGTTTAGACAAGCTGGTATTTGTATACATGGTCAGCTACATCAGCAAGTCTTTGTGTCCCAGGGTTGTGTTTTTAGTGTAATCTCATGTGCTGTGATGCTGCTTTCCCTCAGTGGTTCTGTATGTCAGTATGTAAAGTATATTACACTATGTGTTGAGGTGTGAAAGGAACTGGCCTGTGCTCAGATGCATGTGGGACACCCAAATGCAGGTGGATATCGTTCTGGGGAGACAGCAAGTGGAGCGGTAGGGGTGAAGAGCAGCAGCCCTGAAGGCAAACTGTTTGATGTGAGGCCAGGGGCCTAGCACGTGTGTGGAAGCAAGCAGGTGGGCAGCCTGGGCAGCCCCCTGGGTCAGTTGGTGTTTCCCTTCCTCAAACTAAGTTGAGGATGTGCTTCAACTGAAATGTGGAATGAAGGGAGGTAGAGCAATGCCTGTTATGCCCCTGTCCGAAGAAGTGCTCCTGCCAAAACACATGCCTGACTGGCAAGCAACCCATCCGCCTGCAGCCAACAAACCGTACGCTGTGCCGAGTTGCAGCTGGGCAAGGTTGTGTGGTCATTCCAAAGGCACTGTCTGTTTTCCGGGAGATGTTTTTGATACTGATGTTCACACGCCCGTGACTACCTTGCTTAGGTAAAGAGGCTGCATGCTAGGGGTGTTACTTACTGCCTAAGATGTGTCACATGTGACCCTGTAATGGCATGTGCTTGGAGGAGGGATGTTTCTATGAATTGTCAAGCTGCGTGAGGCATCGTGCTGTTCCTAGATAACTGAAAGTATGCCGGAATTGTACAGGGAAAGAACAAAGAGAAGAAATCGAGTTTTGTAATGCCACAAAAGAAAGCTTAACTTGTTTTCTTGCTTTTTTTTTAGAGAACACCTGTTCCCAGCGCTGAAGCATTCCGATGGTTCTTTTAAGCAGTAGTGTATCTTATTTTCAAGGCAGTCCGAAGTGAATGGCAAGCTAAAGTCTTGTTTTAAGAAACTGCTTAGTCTACCACTGAAGAATATACTCAGATACTATTTTCATTTCTGTATAGGGGTTTCCTCAAAAGCAAAAGACAAAAATCTGGGAGCCTGGGGAATTGGCCAGCTTATTCACATTCAGTACACTGATTCTTTCTTTGATGTAACTTAGCTATACTAGTGAAGTTGTTGTCTATTTTTAAAGTGGCTGTTAAAAAAAAAAAAAAAAACACACACAAAAAAAAAACAAAAAAAAAAAACAAAAAAAGTTTGGGTAAACCCCTGCTATAAAGTCATGTATCTTTGAAAAGTAACATATCTATACTTCATTTTCAAATATATGTGTTTCAGTACTGTAAACTGTACAGATAGCCGCTTGTATTTTGTGTGTTTAGACACAAGGAGACAATCATGTCTGAGCATCTATGGAGATTAATGGTTTGTACACAACGGTGTGGTTCTGCGAGTTAAATCCGGAGCAATAAATCCTAGCTTTAAATATTATTTTGCTAGTTGTTTAGCAGCAGCAGCAACAGCAGCACTGTTTTACCATGCATCCTTCCATAGAGACTTGATGCCAAGTTTTGGAAGATAAAAAGATTGTGACGCATGTAGCAATTACCTTCCATCATGGTGTTGTGAGAGGGGAAGACATAAAATGTACGATTAATCTTTCACGCACTATATTAGAGTAGTGGTTAATGCACTTGCCTTGCTTCCGAAGGAGCTTTACATAGGGGTATCCATCCAAAAATGCTGTATGGTGTTTGACCTACTTTTCACTGAGTTCTAAGGCGAAGTGCCCAGCCTATGTGGATGTGCATAAAGCTTGTTCTAGGATGGAAAATGAGGTGAGCATGAGCCCTTAGTATAAATAAGGACTCGGCTTCATTGCCCTCCGTGTACGGGTTCTTACATAAAGTTTTTGGTCAGTGGAGTAAATGTTTTGTAAAGCTGAATGCAGTATTTTTGGTCCAAGAGGAGCTCTTCACGGTTAAGTTTTGACCACTGGACCGGTTTGGGTCTCGCTTGCAGTTGTATTTATTTGAGAACCTGAATATTTTTGAAGTATAAAACTGAATTTAAAAATACTTCAATAACAAAGACCTCCCTACGTGGTCCTTGTTCCACTCTTCTCAGCTTTGCTGAACCACTGCTCCCTTAGGCCCTGAGCAGAGTGCTGTGCTGCTCTCCTTCCTGCTCTGTCTGTGTGGAGGAAATAGCTGGGAAAAATAAGGAGGATACTGAAACTTAGCGATACTTAATACTGGTTGATCATCACTTCTTATTGCTCGGCCATACCATTCATGAGTGAAAAGGCCATCCTGTCAAAGTAAATGAATGCTGTTGTGCCACATACTTGATAGATTTATCGTTTTATACAAAGTAAGACTGCCAGTAGTTTCACAGAACAGGTGCTGGGCATGGAAAAAACTGATCAGTGGTGCACAGCCCACCCAAATCTTCTCTCATTTCAGCTGTTTCTTCATGAATGTGCTCAGTGCTCCAGCCTGTGGTCCCCAGTCACCCTTATGAGGTGGATCGTGTGGGATGGTGGGGAATGTGGCAGTGTGGGTCCTGTGTGGCTGAGGGGATGCTGGCTTTGGCAGAGGAGGGGGCTCTTGGGAGCCAAGGTCCTCCAGGAGGAGCCTCCTGAGATTACCTGCGTGTGTCGGCTGGGCTGGGCATGGGTGGGTCATTGTATCTGGAGGAGCATGGATGGATGAAGGGTGGACCACAGGCCTATGTCTTTGCGTGCATGACTTTGGAAATGGAGTGTTACACTCAAAGTGCTTCTGTCACAGTGCCCCTCTTTTTGTTTATAAGGGGTCATCAGTTGGATAAGCATACAATGAGCTTTACGTCTGTTCTTATGTCAACTGTGTACGGATTTCTCTTTGTGTTTGAGACTTTTTGGTTAGGGCCTCTGTTGTTGACCAATTGACTAACACAAGCTCTGTAAGGTCTTCTCTACTAAAATGCTGATTGATTTATCAACTGAAGCCTTATTTGCACATCTGGCTGGTAAGCTTGCCTTGCTTTTTGGAAAATTGTGATTGTTCTTAAAGAAGTAGAGACAAGATTAAATTCAGGCTGCATTAGGTGTACAAAGAATATTCATAGCGATGTACTTACTGTCTAATACCCTAATGTTGCATGTCTTGATGTGCTTTCTTTTTTTTGTTTTGTCGTTTTCTTTTAAAGAACTGATGGATCTGTATATTGTAATTGTGGTGTTTTACATGTCAATTCAAAATTGTTAAAAAACAAACAAGCAAACCTGTTAATTACTGAAAAAGAACAAGAGTTGATTTTTCTTTGGTTTCCCCATGTGGCTTTCATTTTGGATATTGTTCCTTTACACCATTGCGGTTTTAGACTTGGGGAAAACAGTATTTCTGAGATGTGGTACGCATAGAGATTTTGGTTTGGGATGTTTGAAGAAGGAAATCCCTTTGCTGGCCTTCCTCCTCCCCTGTTGTATACATATTTGTAAAATGGTTTATTTTTTTCTTCAAGTTCTAATGACCTAATTTGTGCTTTTCTCAAAGTCCAAAAATATTTTCCAGTATGAAAATCTGTATTCCTCTATGTCTTTCATTCACACGGTGCAAAAAAAAAAGTTAGAAATTGTAAAAGAAAAGCAGAACACAATTTCACAGTCTTCTAGGTATGAGCACTAAGCCTAATGGAAGCATTGTTGGCATACCCCAGATAAATGTAGGAAAAATGGTAAGGCTGAACGGGAGGCATACGTACCCATTCTGTAAATTAATAACAGACCCCCCCTAAAAGGGAAATGCTCTCTTTTGTGCAGAACCCCTGGTATGTAAGTCATGCAATTAATGTTAAAGCATATCAAGTCTTTAAATGGGCTATATCTGTAATCAAATAATGAAGAAAGAAAGTAGTTAAATGAACATACCATTCAGGGTCGAATACACTCAGCAAAAAGCAGTAGTGGGTCTTTGATCATGGTTAGATGCATAGTGATATCAAACAGTGGATTCTCATGTAACAGCTAAATGTTTCAGATTTTGTTTTTATTAAATTTGGCAGTTTCACGCTGAGCTCTACTGTACTCTTAGTGAATAAAAGACAGCTCCTATGTTAGAAAGTACTCCATTTTCACAATTGCAGGGAACTAGGAGGTTTTTTTTCAGAAACACGAGCCACAGAAATGTACTCCTTTCACAGTGTTCTCCTATTTCTGAACTGTGCAGTTATCTATTAAATTTTCTAATAGATATTTGTGTAAGGTGTATGTATGCTTGTGCAATTATGGAAAAAAAACAGTTTTGGAAAACGGTGTATTTATGAAAAAAAATCACTTATGGGGCATGTACAAAACTGTATAAAAACATTCAATTTGCCCAGTAAAGTTGTTTTTGTGATATTTCTGTGTTGTTGAATAAAGGACTTTAGTATTCAAGATATCTCTCTTTTTCCATAAACAGGTTTTGTTTGTGGGATCCTAAGCAGTGAAAATCTCTTTTAAAAAAGAATCCTCAAAATGATGAAGAGGGTCCAAAAGCTGACCTCAATCGCACGTTTGGGAATGAATGCTTATGAAGTGGCGGTGCAATAGCTACACAACTAATTCCTTCTCAATTGGCAGTCATAGGAAACCCCATAAGTTGTGTACCTGCAGGTGACGTTGTGCTCTGAATTGTTTAAGAGAACAGAAAAATAGTACCACCTTTGTAAGACTAGGAGTGTGATGTTGAGTTGTAGAGACTGTGAAAGGTGGAGTTAGAAGGAAGACAGATTGCAGAAAGGTCTTCAGCCCTTTGGTGCAGACCTCTGTTGTATAATGGAGTGGGAGTGATGTGACGAGTTAGCGGTTTGTTTCATAGGGAGGAGCGTACGATGGTCAAATCTCATCTGTGACTCTTGCAGCACACTGTAGACCTGAGGGTGGATTGTCACATCAGTACTGGAGCATTTGGGATTGCAAACATGGCTTGTGTGAGAGTGACAGCAATATCCTTCTCTTTGTTTTTCAGCCTTTCAGTTTGAAGTTCTGCTCTTTTTCCTGCTATACCTAGGAAATAGTTTCTCATTTCCGTTTTCTTCCTTCGTGCTACAGACAGGTGCTAACATCATGCCAGTAGGTGGGAGAGTGTGTGGCTGAGTGGGTAGCATGTCCCCTGACTGTCATGAAGTTTGGAATGTCATTGCTCTGCCATTACACCTCATATAAACATAATGTCAGCTCAGTGTGCCAGTGCAGGACTGTGAGAGGGGTGGAAAGAAGAGGTATGTCCCCTGGGCTGCAAGGTTTCCTTCGATGCCAGCTGATTTTCTGGGAAACCTAGGTGTATCCTTTTGGTTTTTAGAGAAAGCAATAAAACCAAAAGGAACGGAGTTGGATTTTCCCTTGATCCCATCTTCTCTCATCAAAATCCGTAAGGATATATGCTCACATGAGACCTAGACCGCTCATTAGACAGCACCAGGGATGAGCCTTGAGTTGTTTGAAGAGGAGGAAGAAAGGGGCTGCCAAGTTGCTTAGGCACAATCAGTGATGTCTCTGGATTAGATACAGAATTCACAGGGAGGAAATGTGCTAATTTCATGAGATGGTCGATTTGGAAGCAGGAAAAGGTCTCTGAGTTCCTATTCCTTTAATGCTTTCTCTTTCAACTTTTTTCCCCCAGGGTATTGTTTTATACTAGTCTGAATGAAAAATATCCCTTAGCTCCAGAGAAAAACTCACCCCAGATATGAACCCTGCAGTTTAAAACTACCTCTAGCTTTTTATAGCTTTTGTTTTTTAATTAAAAAAAAAAAATCTTTAAAAAAAACAACAAACTCAAATAAAAAGTAGGTAATTCTTCAAAGCCAAAACTTGACAAACTCATTAGTGAAGCTATTAAGAGGAAGGAAAATATCCTTTTGCGAGAAGCTTGATTCTTCTAGGCTGTGATGGACTCAATTTGTTTTTGCCACTAGCCATTTCAGCTCTCTCTGATATTTCTCCAAGGAACAAGTCTGAAATTATGAATGGCCTAGTGGTACGAGGCAGCGTGCTTCCTGGGACATCCAGTCCTCCCTGGATTCCCATGGGCTTTGCTAGGTAACTTGTGAAGTTGGAGGAACTTCACAAGGATTAACTCGGTCACCAGCATGTGTTGGGCATGGGTAGATGAACCAAAAACCTAAGAAACGCGTCATCTCAGTAGGAAATACAATGAAGTTTGAGACCATTGGACCTATCTGAGGAAGGAAAGATGAAGTTCAGTGTGAGCTTAGCTTTCATAATCTCTTCCTACCATTGCCTTGATTCTCTTTTCCATTTGGCTTTTAGGATAGATGTGTTTGGCTGGGTAGCAGGGACCTGCAAAACGGCTGTTTTGCCTTAGATAGTGAGAGTGAAGGAAATGTGTGTAGTAATCTTGTAACAAAAAAAGTCTGTGCCGCCTAAAGAAGCTGTCATGTTCAGGAAATAAGGGGTTCTATTGTTCTAAGTATTTGAACTATATGAAAGGGTTGTGGCATTACTCAATAAGCTGAAATAGTTTGTAATTCTACTACCCGTTCCTGGAAAAGGGGTTTTCAGACATGAACCCCAATGGGTTACTGGACTTAGAAGGTAGTTCTTACTCTAAGCTGACTGCTCCATGAGAAGATCTCGTAACTGGGGGTTCAGCAGTCTGTGTAAGCCATCTTTGCCTTCCTGAGTGCAGGATCTTTTCTATAAAGCAGTCAGAATCCTTGTGGGCAAATTGTCAGATGTTGCCATGTCAAACAGAGCCCTGACTAATTATTCGGAGTGGTTTTCCCCAGCTCTGTTTATAATACGTATAAGAATCCTCCAGCTGAGAAGAAAACACCTTTATTTCCTTAGTCCTCTACGTCTGCCCTTGTTACAGAGTTAATAGCACTAGCCATCTGCACATCTTCAGGCAAAATAAATAAATTGGAAGAAATAGAGGACTGGTTTGCTAGCCTTTTTTTTGTGAGAGGAGAGAGAAAAGAGGTAGCCCAGGTCAGAAGCTCCTGTTGCTGGCCCACCTCTCCTAATGTGGGTGCTCTCCTATATAGCCTGTTATTACCTTTGGCAATCAGATGCAACCCTGAAGAAGACCAGCATTAGGGTAAACAGGGTCTGGGAGATAGGCAAACCTCCTGATCCTTCTGATTGCAGTGAAGGTGCTGGGGGGCTTGTAGGCAGAAAGAAGGCTTGCACATCAGGATGGGGCCTAGAACAACTCGGCCTGCGTGTGTTGTAGAGATTCTGCTTTTGACTGGGTGTCTGAACCACCAGCCTCTGTGATAAGTGTGCGTTGTCTCTCACGTGCCTGCGTGTTGATGCTCATGCCTAGGCTGGGTAGCTCATTTGGCCAGCTGATATGTTGGCTGAGGATTTGTGGTTTAATGCAGAACTGAACAACTGGCTTTCAAGCTGACTTTGGACAATTAGTAGGGTAAATAACCTGGTCTAACGAGATCTGCCACCCAGATTAGGAGATATGAACCTAATTATTGCTTTCTGATACTCTCCTCTGACTTGTTTTGCCTTTTTGATCTGATTGTTTGCATTCCTAGACCTGATTTGCCTTTTTGATGCAATGCCCTGTGACCTGCTGATTAATTTTTGTGAGCAACATAACCTCCAACCTATGGCTGACTCGCAATATTTTTATGCTGTGCTCCATAAACATTCATTCATTTCTTATGATTACTGTGTGGAAACAGACTTTTACGAGCTAATAAACTTGGATTTGAACTGGACGAAGGGTTTTCTTGTGTTGATTCTTTCCTGTTGGTGAGAAAAAAAAAGAACGGAGAAAGGGAGGTACGGCCTTTGACTTGACGTAACTGCAGTTCTCCCCACAGATGCTCTCCACAGCAGGCATGGCAATACCAGCAGCAGCGCCTTGAGTTCATTTTGCGGTAAGAAATGCTCCCTGCTTGAACTCAACCAAACTTTCAGGGCTGAGGGCTGGCGGAGAGGGGGAAGGGAAGTAGGGCTGCTCTAATTGCTCGCTGCAGCGTCTCCTCTCCATAGCCCTGCTTTCTACATCGTGCTGACACGTGCAGAGCAGCCTCCAGCTGAGACCAATTAAGCATTTCGTTCACCGCCACTACTCCACGCCTGCCCGAGCTGGGCGATGCTCGCTGCTGCTTGCATGTCGTTGGGCAACCCCCTCAGCATGAGTGGGTCTGGGAAGCGTCCTCGCATGTTCTTGGGGCCTGATGTGCCCCAGGCGGCGACACGTGGCGAACATCTGGTCCTCAGCCTCAGCCGGCTGGAAAATGCTGCTGGCATTTCATTGAAATGAATTCTCACGTTGCAGCTGTTCGCTGTGTCCCTGGGGGATGCATGAGCTGGCAGCGGCTGGTAACCTGCTGAATGGTCCCTTCGAAGGGCTCTCTGGGGTGGGACATCACTTCTGCAGGCTGGAAGCAGATGGCTGAATGCCTGCATGTGGCTACGCACAGTCCACCGATGTGAAGAATGCCTCTGCCTGTATCAATCTGACATGCAGTACAAGTGTGCACAAAAACTGTATTGTTAGGATGGCTCTGACCACTACCACAGGCCAGTGAGGTGTGCATGATCTTGATGTTGCTGAAGGAAATGGGCAGCAGCTGAGAGGTCAGGCTGAACTGTGCAGCTGAATGAGACAGGTCCTAGCCGGGCACCTTTTCAGGCACAAGCATCCCTACTTCTGCTGGAAAGGGTGACTTCGCAGGGGAAGCAATCCCTCCTGGTGTTTAGCCACCCAGCATGCTTCCATTGCAGCCTCAAGCAAATTTCTAACAAGTCAGTTTAATGGAGCTTCCCTTAGCAGCATTGCTGTAGGATGCCCACCATCACTGACCACCTTAGAAAAAATCATTATTACTGGAAAAGAGGTTTTCTGTTCAGGTGTTGGTATTACTTATGTTGCACGTGAGTATTGCAGGATGGATATGTGGTTGGTGCTCACTACTTTCTCCAGGAGTTCATCCAAGTCACTGCATTTCAGGTGCTGGAAGCAACTGGGGTAGGAGTAATGTGCAGGCTGGGGAGTCGCCCAGCAGCCAATGGAGGGTGACACCCGTGATAGAAAGGGGCATTCATTTGCCTTTGGGATGGAAGGGATGTGACACCTCTTGTCAAGTCCCATCTTTACAAAGATTTGAGATGTGAGGCAGCAAGGCAGAAGTCATGGCAAAAGGTCAGACAGCTGCAGCACTTTGCATGCGCAGGCCTTTGCCCCAGTGCTGCGATGGCACAAGCACTGGGCATAAGAACAAGTGTGGCGAGTAGTTGCAATACTTGTGCCGTTTTGTTTTCCTTAGCTCCTGTGGTTTGCTCCCAATTTGCCCCTCATTGAGATTTTGCACCACAAGACTTACTGAGAAGACCACACTACATGTCACAAGTCCTCCACAGCTTGCTTGTGCCATGAGCTCCACATGGGTTTCCACCATGTGTTGGATTTGGAGACTTCTCTGAGAGCTGTAGGAGATCAGCATCTCTGAGGTATCGGTACAGTGATGAATTTTAGAAATGGATGGAAAATATGGGCTCAGGTGTGTTTGAGTGGTTGTCTGCAGAGTTTGAAGCAAGTCCAGCTAACTAAGGCTGGCCACGAGCTGTGCTCCATAGAGGACTGGAATGCATTGCTCTGATATGGGCATAATCAAGGCAGGGCAGAGAAAGCAAGCTTCTTCCTTGTGAAACAGGCCACTCAGATGCCTCAGAGCTGCAGGCAGGAGAACAGATGGACCAGGAAGAGACGAATGAAGGACTCCTTGCCTGGGAGATGACTTTTCTGTCCATAGCCTCTCTCTGGGGGTTGAGGCCACATCTAGATCTCTTTCCCAGCCCTTCCTCTGCTCTGCCTGCAGTCCGGCCCTGCTCTTTTCTAGAGCTCTTGGAAACACAGAGCCCGATGCCTGCTGAGACCCTCTCAAACTCCTCTTTTCCCATCAGTAAACGCAGGCAACCAGCACTTCGCGCCATTACACCTCCTTAGAGATGCAGAAAACACATGGGCTGTTTGTTTTCACATCTACCTACCTAATTGATGGGTTGAGAAAGGGGAGGCGGGAAGGGAACTTCAGCCCTATTAAACAGCGGGGAATTGCTTGCAGTAGATGAGGAGTGTTTGTATTGCAAACACCACCAGCCAAGCTCTCGGCATCCAGGACACAGCGCGACGGTGCCAGAGCCCTTGGTAAACACCTGTATTTTCAGGGTGTGGAGGATGGTCAGTGCAAGCAGGGTGCCCAGGACGGGTTCAGGCTGGAGGTGGCTGCCTTGCTTCTCAGCTGGGCTGTGCTCTAGAGAGAGGAGGAAAGAAAAATGCTGGGCTATGAGGCAGGTCTGCGACCTACAGCATGATGAGAGCGTTGCAGGGTGGCAGGGCTCAGGGTGGCCAAGAGGTGATGGCTCCCACTTGTCATTGCCAGCACAAGGCTGGGTTCAGCCTGACGGCGCATTGAGCCGATTACCTCTCCCCTTTTAAAAATGATAATCAAAAAGAGGCGAGAGCCAGAGGTCCTTCAGCGAGTTATCATTTTCCCACACTGCGCATCTGTGCTGAGCTGAGACGGCTTCCTCTGTGTGCCGAGCTGGAAACAAAGGGGGAGTGGGAGCACCACCCAGCAGGGATGGGCAGGGGGCCCAATGCTGCTCTGCAATAAGAGATCAATAGCCCCCCACCAAAGAATGTCAAGCGATCGCCCAGGCAGCACCAGTCCAAAATGGAGAGCAGTGCTGTGGTGGACTGCTGCCTCTCTGGGAAGACGGGTGCACATTGCAGTGACAGTGCTGCTGTGGGGCAGCGAGGCTGTGGGTCCCCCCGCCTCCAATCTGAGCAGTATTCTGTCGATAATAAAAAAAAAACAAAAACAAGCATACCATTTCCCAGAATCTCAGCCATTAGCATACTCACCCTAATACTTTAATCCCCATCATTGTTTATAATCAAGCTGCATGCAGGGTTACGCATGGCACTGCCTGATTTATGAATATATATATTTTTCTGTTTTAATTGAAACGGCAACATTTAGGTTCCACCTTAACAGTGCACCTTAAAAGATTATCTCGGTTATTTCACAGGCACCGAGCCGGCACTAATAGTCCAAGGCAGATATTGAAAAGCAGCACAGGGCCAGGCAGATCTATTAGAAATTCCCATCCACGCGCCTCATACATATTGATTTCTGACACCAAGCAGCAGTGAAAGCCCCCGTGGGAATAATATATTTAGCAGGGTTCGCTGCGAGGAGGTCACAGAGTGCATACAGATTAGCTACAGAGGACCGAGGCACTAGTGTTGGAGCCAAATGCTAGATTTTATATCATTTTAATCTGAACTTTTATAATCCTTTTAGTTCTTCTTTCTCTGGCTGGCAGAGGGAAGGCTTCTCCACATGGATCACGCATTTCCCCCCCACCTTTATTCCTCCCATAAATGTGCAAATGCTGTTGTAATGGGGAGGAAGGCACCCTTAGCATAAGCAGAAAGAGGCACCAACAGATTTGGGTTTTATACATGGTGCGTGTACATGTATATATCCATACAGATAGATATAGATATGCATGTGAACGGGTATCATAATGGTCATTCCAGCTGGAGAGATCTTTATTTGAAGATTTCCTTTCACGGGTTGTGTGTGTGTAAATCCCAGGCTCCAGCTTTAATGTGCAGGCATAAAGGGCTGCCAAAGACCCTCTTTTATTTTATTTTTATCCAGGAACTTAATTGAGCAGAAGTTGCAGTTGTGCTGTTGAGCCTCGGAAAGCAATGACAGCAACAAAAAATACCTAAACAGCTTTAATTACCTTTCTGCGTATGCTGATGGAGAGGAAATGATGCCTACTCGTTATGCGGCGAGGTGTTGTGATGGATCAGATGGAGGTGTCAGGAGGGAGCCAAGCAGGCGCTTGGGAGGCTGGAGCCATGCCAGCAGCACAGAGGGGAAGCTTGGGGTTGACACACTTTGACACCGGAGTGAAATGCGCTCTGACAACAAAGGAAACCGGGAGGTTTCAGCTAAACAGACACAAAAGCTTACTGGCGTCTTCAGGGCGATAGAAACACAGTGACTTCCATTTGTCGCTTTTTTTTCTTCGTTAGGAAGAGGGCCTTGCGAACGTTCTCAATTAAAACTGCCATGGGAACCCCCGCCTGTTGTGGGGTCAGCTTCTGCACTCTGTAGGATACATA